TGGTGCAGTATAAAGTTAATTTATAGGGTGGTTAGGAATTCATGTCATGACTGGTGAAATAGGAGACTTTATTATGATTTCTATATCTACCTGTGTGGTAGGAATACATACCTTCCCTCTATCATTACGGGTAATTTCTTAAAACATAATTATGAATATGTATGCCATGTCACAAAATGAGTTGATTCACTGTTGTTCAGTGCAATTCATTATATTGTTCAATGTAAGCCCTAGAACATAATTAGCAATAACAACAAACCAATAATATACCAGCCAATCTGTTAAGAGTTGAAGGATATGGTAGAATTTCCTTTTAAATGATTAAGTGGTTCTGGGTGAAAGGCAGATAATGAATAAGACAAGATTTTGAAATCCTTCAATGCTGCCTTTCATGCACATTGAGGTCCACGTTAGGAAGCTATATAAATTCTAAATATGTCCACTACTTCATTCTGCTAATTTATTGCTGTATTTGTCCAAAGGGGAAAATATACATCCATAAAATTACATTAACGAAATGTGTATGTGTGGCACACAAATAATAATACACAGGCCATTCCAGAGCCAAGCTTCTTTTAAAGACAGTTCATTCCCCCAGTGCTGTGACAGTGTTTTCAGTGTAAGGACTAGCAGATTGGGATTGGCACTCACATTGTGCCAGGCACTGCGTTGAGTGTTTTATATGAATTAGTTCCTTTGGTCCTCATATTACTTCTGTGAGATTGGTGTTGTTTTCACCAATTCCAGATGGGTTCTGAGAAGTTAAGAAACCTGTCCGAAAACACATGGCTACTGAGTGGAGAAGGCAGAGGGGAACCTGCTTTTCTCAGGCACCAAAATCTATTCTGGCAGTAAATTCTAGGTCATGGTCTGTTATTATGTTTTTGCTTTTGTTATTTGTTGTTCTGAGTTTCCTCAGTTATTAAATGCGGAGTGGGGACACAGGGCTGATAGAAGTTGACCTCTGATGTCTGTATTCTGTGTACAGAGATCAATGCTCGTCCTTGGAGCAAAGCTGTGCTTTCTTAAGACGATAGAAATTTGGGGGAAGACCTAGGCTTGTTGAATAAACATCAACAAGCCACTCAGTTTCTGTGGACAACTGCATGCAACTTGAAAGAAAAGAATAACGTCTCACAGATGACTCCAGGGCATCTGAGAGGAATTGCTATGTGGATTGACAGCCTGTAGCTGTTGGTTAATAATGCTGTTGACAGTATTTAGTGATGGGTGGGCAGCCAGGAATCTTTCAAGCGCTGAGGCACAAAGGTAGCATGAAGCTGCCTTTCCTGAACCTTAAGCTCCCAGTCCCTGTGCAAACACCTTTTGCATTCACTTTAATTGTTTGAAAAACGAAGACTTCCAGACTCCATCAGCTCTAGCAGCTGTCTGGGTGGATGGGGGTGGAGATGGACGGGGTAGGGCAAGACCTCCCCACAGCGCCCTCCAGCAGCAGAAGATGCAACTTGCAAATACTTTAGGATCAGTGAAAAGCGTGGCGTTTATTTCAGTAACCTCAAAAGAGAGAAAAAGAAAAGCAATGGAAAAGGACAAACATTCAAGTCTAGCTGTGTGATCATGGAGTAAAAAAAAAAAAAAAAAAAAAAGCTTGTTTTTGACACGGAAAGGGTCCTTGGAGGCCATTCGGTCCAATTCTCTCATTTCCTGGGTCAACATGTCACAATGAATTAACCACATACTGCCACTGCACAAGACCCCCTCCCTCACCACATGCTGAGCCCCCACCACCAGCACTCAGTCCACTGAGCTCAAACATAGAGGAGATAAGTGCTGTTTTTCACAAGGTAAAGGCAAAATTCAATCCCACATTCCCGTTTTGTTTCTGTTCAGTGTTCCAACCACAGAGTGGTGCTATTGCAAAAGATAAGGGTAACCAGAAGGCACGCTCTGGAAATTTGCTTTAGGAGAGAGTTTTAAAGGGGGTTTTCAAAAACAAGATCTGGTTCCTGTTCTCAGAAATCACTTTCAGGAGTCAGGGCCTTACTCTCAGATGCAGCAGAGAGAAAAAGAAAGTTCAGCAACCTAAAAATATAGTCGACAGATGGACAGCCAAAGTCAGGGCCACTAAGTCAACTTGGAGAGGGGCAATTACCTAGTGAATCCTAAAAGATCTCATCCTGGATGCTTCCTTAACCAGGGCTAGCTCCAGGGCACAAGCTCGCAGCCAGCTTACTTTCCAGTCCTGATCTTTGCTTTTGCTATCCATACCACTACGGTCTTTCTATAGAAAAGAAAAATCTCTATTTAGAAACACGGATTTACTTAGAAGTCACAATATTCTACGGTTTAAAAATGGCTCTACATCGTATATAATAATCTTTTTATTCTGTCTTCTTAAAAACACACCTTTCTAATTCTCTTTTTCTGCCCAGCCTCTTCATTCAGCACCTTGCCACTCTCTTGGAAGCCACAACAGAGACACCTGGGGGGTCAGTCCCTAGTCTGAGAAGGAAGAAATCTTTAGCTCTGAAGCCTAAAGAAAAACAGTAAAGGAAAAGGCAGTTGGAGGTGCTCAAGGGAGATGGTCTGAAAAAGGTCTTCTACTCAGAAAAGAGCTAAGGCTTTCCGTTTGGGAAACCAATCCTTCTGAGCAAAAAAGTGCATGTTTCACCCTCTGCTCCTGTCTGGGTCTCTCCCTCTTCTTCTCTCCTTCCCTCAGTCCCTCCTCCCCTCTCTCCACAAAGGCACAGCACATATTTGGCAAGATTAAGGTGTCACCTCTCATATTACAAGGCCTGTGGATTGCAAGCAAAGACAGACCCACCAGCTCAGGACAAAACCCCCTGGAGCTGGAAACAATACAAACTCTTCCTGGGATCCCCGAAAGTCCTGGCAAAGTGAGGCGGCCAACCAGTGCAAGGCATCTGCAGAACAAATCCAAGTCCTAAACGCACTGCTTGCTGCCTTTTCTTCTTCTTCGTTTCTTCTGATTTTTCAAGTTTGTTTGCCCCCCTTCCCCTCGTCCCTCCAGACTGCCAGGGACCTGGGAGCTGCCTGCAGATCAACCCGCACATGTATTTAACCCCTTCCCTGCTGCAGCAGGAGCCAACCACCTCTTTCCTTGCAATCTTCAGGTTCCCGGAGGACCTGGAGCTTGAGAAAAGAACTCTGCCAGTGGATCTGAAACTGGGGCCTGAATCCCTCCTTTGACCACGGCGAGAAGCTGGAGGAGGGGGGCAAGTGCGGGAAGTGGGGGAGGGCAGGGAGGCGGGCCAGATGAGAGGGAGAAAAGCAGAACCCGACAGAGCACGCCCAATCCAAACCTTCATGGTGCTGTGTGGCGGGGTGGAGGGAACGACTCGGCAGCCTCTTCTGGCCCTGAGGAAGACGTCGATATTTTGGCAAGAGGGGAGCCACTGAAGGACGACCCTACCCTTGCGAGGGACCGCAGAAGGTGACGCCTCTGGGCCTCGGTGGGCGCTTCTGGCCGTTTTCGATGTGGCAACCCCCATCAGCCAGGATAATGATGAGGCAGGTACAATCTATCTAGTACGCAGCCCCCAGACTCCCCCTCCCTTCCTACCGCCCCCTCCAAGCCCCCAGCTACTCTCTGCGGCCGGTTGGTCCTGAACTGGTGGGTGCAGTTCCGGGGTTCAACCAAATTCTCAGACAATTCTAAGGTATTTGGATTTTTTGAACCTGGGCCCTAACCGAAACATAGAACGGCTTATTAGACACCTCGAACGACAGGGCAGGGATGGAGACGGGATACTCGCTTCCCTCCCCAGTCGCTCCTGAGTCAAAAGGTCCTGGAAGGAGATGATGAGAGGAGCGGCTGAAGTGGCAGAGGGAGGAAGGGATGAGGGGCTTGGAGCGGAGGTCCACCACTCAAGGACTCGGGAAGGGGACAAGAGGGTAACACTCTGTTCCCAGATTCTCGATTTCTCGTTGATCCCTAGGTGGTATTTTCCCCCTTCTCTCGATGGCAAATGGGCGAAATCAAGATGACTTAACTTGGTAAATTTAGAGAGAACGGCTCGGAGCAAGTGGGGTCTAACGGGCAGCTAAAATTATCTCCAAATAAGATATTTTGCCCCCCTCCCCCTATCCTTTCCTCGAATGAATGCACCGGTGGGGAAGTGAGCGTCATTACTTTCGGGGCGCCGCGAAGGCGTTTGCTGGTTGCTCGCCTTTCCTGCTTCTCGCGCTGTCCCCGCGTGCAGACTGGTGGGTGCTGGGCGAGTGATGAGCTGCAGGGCCCCATCCTAGTTTGGAAGGAAGGGGTTTAGAAGTTGGAGGATGGGTGAAACGGGAGGCTGCGATCCATCTCCCTCTCCCTTCCACACTCAAGCTCCCGCAAACGCGCGCGTGCACAGCCCCTCCCTAGTCCCTGGGACCACCCGCCCCCACGCCCCTCTACCTTGACCTCCCTTGACCGCCGGCACAGCGTCCTGGGTGCGGGTGCCCGGGAGCGGCGAGTTTGCCGGGGAGCGATTGTCCTTGGGCGTGTTCGTGTTGTGGGGTGGGGGGAGGAGGGGCGGGTGGGCTTGGTAGGGGTGGGGAGAGATCTGGAGCTGGAAGGGTCTAAGGTTTGGAGGAGGAGTTTACGCCTCAGACCTGATCCGCCTAAGGAAAGGGGCAGGAAAAGGCCCTAATGCCTGGTCAATAAAATCTTAAAAGAAAAGAGATGAACAAGAAAAATTTCAAGAAAAAGAACAACTGAAAAAGGCTGAAGACACTAACATGTAACCTGTTACGATACATTTAATGTTTCGTTTTTTCCTGGATCTCTAAAAGGGAACTCAAGGGTGGGGGTTACCGAAGACTACTACTAATTTGGAAGTTTTTGTTGCTGTTGTTGTTTTGTTTCGTTTTGTTTTTCAAGAGGGGCTAGGAGAAATGACTCCTTCCCCGCCGCGGGTCCCGAAGCGAGGTCCGTGGGGCTCTGGGGCGCGGGCGTGCGCGGCGCGGCGCGGGCCGGGCGGGGGAGGGCGGCGCGGCGCGGAAGGGGTTAAGGCGCTGAGCGCGGAGCCATCTGGCCGGGTTGGCTGGTTATAACCGCGCAGATTATGTTCACGGGACTCAGAGTTGAAGCTCCTCTCCCTACCGAACAGCTCCGCGCACCGCCCCGAGACACAGCCCGGCGCAACTACTTTCTTCCCTCTCCTTTCTTTCTTCCTCTCCTTTTTCCCCTGCTGGGTAGTGGCTGCGGCGGGGTGGGGGAGACTTTGAATGACCGAGCTCGCGTCCCCCTTTCTCTTCATGTCGACGTCCCTGGAAACGGCCACACGGATGCCATGGTTACTTTTGCCACGGTAAGGGGAGGCGGCGGGCACGTTGGGTGGGCAGGTTTGGGGATGGGGGTCCACGTGGGGAGGGATTTTCCAGTGAACCGGCGCGGGGGGCCCCAACTCCGCATCCCGCCCCACCCCCATTGCGCCGCGCTCACTCACTTTCCCGGGCTTGTGCCTTCCCCGAAGTTTGCGCTGGGATCTGCTCAGGCGGGCGCAACCGCAACCACGCCGCTACACACACACACACACACACACACACACACACACACGGACACCCTTCTCCACCTCCTCCCCTCTTGTTCCTCGGCTGCCCAAGAAGCTTCCCTCAATCTGGGAAAGTGATCAGGTTTAAGGGACCTGGATTGGAAAGGGTGGGGGCAGGCGAGGGGAAATGGGGACGACGAAAGAGCAGGAAAGGGATTCAACAGAATCAACCACCCACCACCCCCAACCGACCCGTCTGCTCCTCCGGGAAAGCTCCTAGCGCATCCTATAACAAAAGAGGGTGGCAGACGGAACCCCGGGCGGGCAGACAGAACCCCGGGCGGGGAGGTGCTGCCGCAGCTCCCCTGCACACGCCCTGCACCCTGCCGGCCACTGAGCCTGATTCTCAGCTTGCCCCAGCGCCACTCCGGCCGGGGCGTGGGCTGGGGGAGGGGACGCGCAGCTCAGGACCCGGAACGTCGCGTTCCAGTTCTGGGAGTTGAGACTCACCGTCCCGCGCCGCGTACCTGCGTTGGAGTCCCCCGAAAGGTTTTTTTCAGAAAAGACCTCGCGCCCCGGGCTCCTCTGGGCCAGCGCCCACCCGGTGGCCACCCCACCCTGGGCCTTTGCGCAGATGCTGGAGCTCCTCACGCAGCCCGCACATCTGGGACCCCGCCGGGGAGCGGCGGGCACCCGGGCCCGGTCATCGCTGGGGATCTCCTCGCGGTATCGTCCAGCCTGTTCTCGGACTTTGAGCGGTGGCGTGGGAGGCTGGGAGATCTGGGACCCCGCGCAGCCAGCCAGGTCGAAGTTTGAAGGTCCTACGACGGACCGAACCGCCCCATTACCCCAGAGCTTTACTCAGTGGTGGATGCTCCTGATGCAATTGGGGACGCTTGGGAGTTGAAGGGTAGGGAAAGGAGGGGCGAGGGCCGAGGGCATGGGGTGGGGGAGTAGTAGGATTCTGCTTGTTGCTCTCCGCGGGAGTGGGTGCGCGTCCAGGAGGCGCTGCTTCTTTGCGGGAGTTTGGCTGCTGCGTTCGTTCGTCGTCTGCGCTTCAGATGCATAGCAGTGAGACCCCTGCGTCGAGCGGTGTCGGGGCTGTGGACTAGAAAGGATCCCTTTTGCTGGAATCGAGGCTCGGGTGGGATTCCCGGTGGGGGAAACACCAAAAATATCGTCTGGCCTCGGCCTCTGGCGGCGGGCGGCAGGTTCTGAGTCCGAATGGGGGCTGCTCCCGGGAGCGCCGGGCTCAGAGCTGGAGAGCTCGGGGGACTGTGCGCCTGTGGACTTGTTTATGTGTGTGAAGAGGTGGGGGCGGGGGCCTGCTGAGAGGGGAGGGGAGCCTGCCAGGGGTGGGTGTTTCTCCTGGAGCCTGATGTTTGTAACTCAGCTGATAGTATGAAGTGTACTGAGCGACCTGCTTTTTAAATAAAGAGATGCCCGCTCCTACCCCGCAAAACCGCGAGCGAGGAAAACATGGAAGCGCTCTGTCCTGAACGTCAGGATGGGAGAAAGTTGTAACACAGAGGAGACTTTTCCAGCGGTCCTGTTTTCACAACGCTCAAGTTCTCCAGCAGACTCAGCCTGCCTCCCGCCTGCCCTCAATTCCTTTCTGACATGTCACACAAAGAAAGCTGAGAGGTAGCATGCAGAGGATAAAACGCAACCGCCTCTGCCTTGGGCGCAAACACACAGATTTGGGTATCGCGTTAGGAGTTAAGGGGTTTGGAAAATAATGCAGGCTCCTGTAAACGGTGTTGAAGGGAGGTAGAAAGTCTGGGGTATTTCCCCTAGGGAGAGTGTGTGGGATTTTGTGTTGGTGAGGACTGGAGTGTAGCTGGACTTAGAGGGTTTGGTTGTGTGTGAATGGGATCTGCTTATCTGTGGAATGAGATTGTGACCATTGAGTGCGTGGTCAGGGAGGGACGGGGATGTTTTTTTCAGAGAGAGAGAGAGAGAGTGTGTGTGTGTGTGTAGGGGGAGGTGGCAAAAGAGCTGGAGTCCCATCCCTCTCTGGTGCCTGGGAGGTGTGTGCTTCTGGGGAGTCTGTTGGATGGGCATCTGTGTGCTTAGCGGGAGACAAGAGCTTGCAGGAACATAGGTGTAGCTAATGCGAAATCTGTGCCTATGAAGGGTGTCAGAGCAGGGGGAGAGGTGCAGCCTGTTGAAGACAGATGGCTTGTGCATGCCTGCGCAAACACATGGAGTGGGTGTGGTGTAGGAGGGCGGCTGTGTGTGTGAGCGAAAGGTGGATGCATGTGGAAGGTTGGGCGCCTGAGGATTACCAAAGGGATGTGTGTGGGGGGTGGGGGAAGATTATCTGGGGAGCACGGAGTGTGAACTTTATGAGAGTGCGCTGGGAAATTTGGCTGGAGTGGCATTGGGGCATGTAGGGGGTAGAAAAAGTGTGAGCTCAGATCCTCTTTACGGAAAGACAAAGCATTTGCAGGAAAGGACACCGGGTTGGGGTTGGGGTTTGCCTCCCCCCTCCTTCCTCCCCAGAGAGGAGAGAATTGGAGGAGGCTTAGAATGAGGGATGTACATTTAAGGGGAAAAATCCTTGTGCCCTGGCACTGGGTGGGAACAGGAAGAGATGTATGCGTAAGACTGAAGTAAGTAGAGGAATACACTATTCGTGCCTAGTGTCAGGGGTGCATGTTGTATAATGTTTTGTAATGGGTTTCTTATGTAATAGGGGAATTCACTATCACCAGTTCATATTGATAATCAATTAAAGCTAATGGAGTGCCTACTGGATGCTCAGCCCATTGCTGGGTACTGGAGCATGGCACACTGCCCTGGAAAAATTCCTTCTCCAGGCTCAGCTAACTGATGCAATTTTGCCAGAAATAGACAGAGCTCGATGCTTGTTGAGGTTTCTTCAAGGTCTATAATTCGGTTTCTAGAGATGTTTATGGATCTTGGGGGCCAAAGGGAAGCTGACTTGAAATACATCTCTGGTTTTGTAAAAAGTGAGACATAAAGATAGGGATGATGTAGACTTTTATGTATTGAGAAAGGAGCTGGATGGTGTTTTCTTGTGTGGGGTGTGGGTTGGGAATTGGAGGGTGTTGCACTTCAGGTCAGAATGCAGGTCCAGATCCCTTTGAGGATTGAGTTTCTAAGAGCACACAGAGCCTCCTTCATAGCTGGAATGAGACTTGTTATGTGGAGCTGGAGAATGGTGAAGTCATGATCAGGGAAGAGACGGACTGGGGACGTTTGTCATCTTTGGTATTTTCTGGACTATGAGTGTAAAGCTAATCTGAGTGTGTGTTTGAGGGGTGGTGTGTGTGTACGTGTGTGCATATGCACTTTGGCCTGGAGTAACGTAACTGAGAGAAAACTAGCCAGGTGGATAGGAGGGGTGGCTATTCTGGCTCTTGTGAAGGGAGTGCCAGTATGTGTTTTTACAGGAATTCTGTGTGTCTGAGGAAGGATAAAAATTGTCTTGGATACTCAGATGTGCATCTCTAGTGAAAAAAAGTGTACACAAAAGAAGGGCCATAGACTTTGGGGAATGAGAGAAAGGTGTAGTTGATCGGGTCCATACCCTGAGATGACTAGTGAGGCAACTGGATAGGAACAGAGTGAAGGCTGTGCTTCCGTGATGCACATGTCTATCTGTCTGGACCAGATGATGGGGAGCCCCATTTGATTAGGTTCTGACCATGGTTGGGCATATGTTTGGGAGGACTTTATTTGACTCATGACATTTTTGAATTCATGAAGTTACAGCTGTGCCATTTTAAGGGTCTACCTTAGTTTTTAGGGGGAAACTCATCTCTATAAGAGATAGTTTATGTAGGGCTTGACTATTGGTCAGAAGATCGGGGACAGATATTTCTGAGGGCAGGGTGGTGAAGTGGAAGACTGTGGATTGGGAGTGCCTTAGTTCTAGTCCAGTTCTATCATTTGGGAAAAGTGTGACTTTGGGGACCTTTTTAATCTCTTTAACTCTCTGTTTCTCTTTTTGTAAAGTGGCAATATAATGACTCAAGGAGGAGGAAAGTTCATTCCTCTTTTCCCCCACCAAAACTTGGTGTGTTTATTGTATACAGCTGTACAAAGATGAAATGTAATTAAATACCGGTGCTAGCATGTACGTAGGTCATTGCAAAAATAGGATCTGGACCTCTTTCTCTTCACAATGCAACTTAATCAGTAGTCATGATGCTCATTGCATCTCTACTGCTCACTCGCTGTGTAAATAAAACTTTTTATAACTGCCTCAGTTTACTCATCCAGAAGCTGGAGGCAACCAAGCCTAGATTATAGATGATGGAAATCTTTAAGATCTTTGAGCTATTCAGAGGAAAGGTAGTCTAAGAATCAATGTTATTAATGATCAGAGACAGACATTTCTTTATTTTTAACATCAGCTATGCAGACCACAGCACCAAAACAAATGTGACTTGGAGAACAGCAAAAATAATAATTGTCCTTGACATAGGCACCATTTGGATAAAAGAGGAGCAAAGTCCAGCCTGCCTGGTAAGAGGAAAGCCTGGGCTTTGGGTCTTTGCAATTCTTTGTGCCCAGTGCAGCAAGTTGGTTACAGCCACTTTCCCCAGAGATGAAGATGGAGGCGCAGGGGGCCACGGAAACCCACTGAAACCTCCGATTCCTCCCAGAAGTTAGCACATGCTGTCAACTCCTGGCTCAGCGTCAGGCTCCCATCCTTGAGTTCAGTGGCCATAAATAGGAGCTAAGCTATTTCCAGGAGGCACTAAACTAATTCTGTTGCTTTTCTTGGCGAGATTGGGCCAATTAAGTTGATTGGAAGAGGTCACTGCTGATGGGCCTCACATTCC